ATTTCATCATTACAGCTCTGGTAGTTTTAGCTAGTTTTTCATCCATCACTTCATGGTTTCTTTAGTAGGTTTTGTGCAGGAGACTTGCTGAAAAGCGTTTTGAAAAACTAAGTTGTTGGCTGGGATATCCTTTGTTCATGACTAAAACCAATTTCATTTATAATCTGTATTGTGTAATGATTTTCTATACATTTTAATTGCAGTATTTTTAATTAATATTTTTAATTGCATTCTCAAACATTGCCAACTGTGAGTGCTCGTTCTTTCATAAATGCATCATCTGCAGAGCACTTTGTGTAAGAGTACAGTGTATATTATTTTCTGCAACCTCTAAGGAGTTCTCCCCACTCGCTGTTCAGCAACGAAAATCAGTTTGGGCTTCCAGGTTTTTGAATCAGATTACTTTTGCAACTTTATTTCCATATAGTTTACTGTATTTCTGGAAGGCAGTTCAATTGTAGATATTTGTTCTCATCATAGAATGTTGCAGATTTCAGAACTTAGTAGCTTCTTCATGCACCAGGATGGATAATATTAGCACTTCAGTTTTTTCTCTGTTTCAATACCCATGTTTTGGTTTTGTTCTGGAAGCAAATAGCAATACTTTAGAAATAACCAGCCTTTTGTTTCAAAGCTCCTGCCCAAACAGCACTGGTAGTTGGTAACTGAAGAGCTGTTTCTCTCAGGAGTGTTTCAAGGAGATACAGTGTGATATATTTTTGTGGCTTGCAAGTCATTTCCTTGAGACAGTGATGTTCATGTGTTTTAATACAACTTCACCTTCAACTAGCACAAGCAGGCACCTGGTGCACTGGGGAGCTGGCAGGCCCAGATAGCAGAGCGTGCTTTGATTCTTCCAAAATTCTATCTTCCAAATGTTTATTTTCAAAAGTCTTATAAAAAAAAGTGAACATATGTTTCTATGTGTCTTATATTAAAAGCTGCTGGCTGTTTTGTAAATGCAGAGGAAATGCAGGTCTTGGAGAAGCCTGAGATTCTGTCATCAGCAGGATGAAGATGTGCCTGATGGATGCTGCTCACTGAGCAGGGGCTGTGGATATCAACAATACTGTGTGTTCCATTTTGTTGAGAATTGAGATAGCTGGACTGGATGATCTTGAGTCTTGATCTTAAGTCTCTTCCAACTTAAATGATTTTGTGATTGTATGCTGGATTCATATGAATGTGTTTTGATGTTGAAACGGAGGCTTCCTATAAATTCCAGTGAAATCGATGGATGGACTAGAATTCAAGCATGTTTTGTATTGTTCTTGGAAAGTTTTTTTGTCCTGTGAAGGACATTATCTTTTTTCATCTGGTTGGAGATGATCAAGTTAAGCTTGCACTGATTACTTCCTCTGGATAATGAATGGCACACCTCAAAAGAGTTTCTAGAAAGAATTGTTTCCTTTAAAGATCAGTTGGAAGATCCCTGTGAAGTCTGGGTTTCCTGGTCTTTGCATTTGATTGTTAATTTGGTTCTTTTAGAATTTATTCTCATCTGTTTATATGATCAGCTTGGAGATGTGCAGATTACTAATGCAAATTCCATATATTATTTATGGTTCCATTTAGAAAAAAAAAAAAAACAACAAAAAACACATACTGATTGCCAACTGTTTCTTGGTTGGCGCTTTTGTTCTGATTTCTTTTTACAAACCCATCTTGAAAATGTTGTTTATTCAGCGTTGTACAGCTTAGCTATTGAATTTGGTGCATTACTGCAAAAGAACGCATGAGAATAGTTACCATGATGACAGCCCATCATAGTGCTTTAGTTTGATCCCTCCAAGTCAAGTTTAAATTTTGCTCAGAAGTGTAATGAAAATCATTTGCACGATAGATGTCCCTGAGAATTCATAATGCTGTATCTAATGTCTTAGTGTAAGCTAGTGCTTACATTGTGTCATGTTTCTTATTCATGTTTTGTCCGTTATGTGTTTGCACGTTACAGTGCAATAACTGAAAACTGTTGCCTAATATACTTACTTCTGATCCTAGAATTGAAAAGCACTGAGTGCTCTGAAAAATATATAGAGCAGAAAGATCCAGATTGTCTCCAGAAGGTTCTGTGGACAAACTGGAATGGACTGATTAAACAGTAATTTGAATAATTTATAAAACATTCTTCCTGAATGGAACCTCTTTCTTCACCAAAGAAGGTGCTAAACTTTTAATCCTTTTTTAAATACATATATTTTTTTGAACAACATAATAACAATTGTTCTGTGTTAAATTGTAAGTAGGACAATTTCATTTATGTAAATAAATTTGAAGATGAGCAATGCTATATATCATACTATTAATTTCCAAAGTTTATTATTAATAAGTTGTCTGTTAGGATTTAAGAATAAATGTAAGCATGTGCTATCCACGTTTATGGAACTCGAACACTTCTTAGATACCTTAGCTTTGGGCATTCCCTTCTATTACTTATTACTATGTATAATTACTATTATTATTTCAATTTTACAGCTAGAAAATAATTTAACACCCATACTTTATACAATAGTTTCTCCTGATGGCGCCACTGGCAAAGAATCATTTAAAATAGTTTTGCTTTTTATGTCCTCAGTCAAAATGGGAAATGCTTTTGTAAATGCACATGGAAGATACGGGTCAATATTTTTGTTCGTCTTAAAATTCAGTATTCTGAAAAACTCCAAAAACATTTTTGATGATTTGTTTTTCTTAGCTGTGTGTTGATCTAAAAGGAAAAAGTGTTAACCTCTCACTGATGATATTTGGTTTCAAACCTAAATTAATTTGTGCTTTTTAGAGAATAAATCTTACAAGATGAATAATGGATTAAGAGTATTGTGAAACCTAATATCCTTACTCTGCTGTTTTGGGATGCAGCCTTGTGTCTGTGGCCAATAACAACTGGAAGAGGAACCGCAGATGAAAACATTTTTCATGTGTGAAAGCATAATAAATCACATATTAGGTTTTTGAGGGGACAACTTTCAGTTCTGCAGGAGTAAGAAATAGAGATCTTTTTCAGTGCTTTCATAGACTGTCTCGTGTGTCCTGAAGTTAGTGGCTAGTCTCCATGCTGCTTCTGTCTTTTCTCAGCAGTGAATTGCACTGCTCAGTACAGATAAGCTCAGTCCTACTCTGATCTGTCCAGTTAGGCTATTTTCTTTTGGTACTTGTGCTGATACTAGCCTACTTGTTTGTTTTTGGTTTTTTTTGTTGTTTTTTTTTTTTAATATCCTTTTTCTGGGATTTCTGAATGCGAGATTATTAGATATCACATATAATCTCTTTGTTTTCTGTTTTTTTGTTCTAGTTAAAACTATCTGTACCAATTGGTCCCTCTCATAGCCCTTCTCTGGACCTATGTGTTCTAGTTCACAAAGTGTTACATTAACTCAGGTGACATAAAAGTGAATTCAGCTGTTGTTTATCCAGTGTTATGAGTATATTCTTCTTTCTTGCTCATGAAAAGACTTTGCTTTGATATGTGCTAGGTGTAGATTTCACTGCTTTGCAGTATTTGACTCTGGATAACCATTAATTAATTTGATATTCAGTGCCCTGATTTTGCCTGTAAATTTGAATTATGTGTATTGAATGGTACAGGTGCCAGGATCTTTATTTATCACCTCATATAAAGTGCTGCTGTTGTTGTCAGCAGTTCTTACCAGCAGTCTCAGCACTTAAAGAACTATATGTTCTTCACCTGTTTCTCAGATGTCATTTGACTAAGCACGTTTAGGTTGATTCTGCTATGGAGTACTGTGAGCAGAATGGTATAAGTCAGTGCTTGTCTTACTATTGCCTGACATTTCATGTAATTTCTTTATGATATAGCAAAAGGTAAATGTTACTTGTGCTGAAAGATGTTACCTTGTTTTGTCTGAGAAGTTCCAGTCAACTAATATATATCAGGACTATAAGTAATGAAACAAAACTCATGAAGTGTATTGGCTTAATGTACTGGTTTTAAAGAGAATGCAGATGTACTCTTCAGGTAGATTTCTGTTCTACTGTTATTTGCTGGGGCTCTGATGGAAGTTAATGGATTATCTTTGTAATATGAATGGAAAATATTTTCCAAAAGTTGACATGTGATTTTTTTTGTTTTGTTACAGTGACAGCATGTTGGAACTTAGTGTTATGCCAAAAGACGAAGACATCCTTCAATTGGTATGTTTATGAGGCTTACATTCAGATGTATGCTGACTAAAGGAAAATAAAATTTTGCTGTTGATTTTGAAGTCTTTGAACTGTGATGCTAGCAAGTAATTAAAATGCTAACATTTAGTGCTTTTGACACTCATTAGATGTTCTCCTACTTCTTTGCCACCTCTGAAATTTCAGAGGAATCCAAATATATGGGAGAATGCCTGCTTCATATGATATTTCTAGTATCTTGTTTGAAAGAGAAGATATCTTAAAATAATGTTTATATTTTTATTTGTTTTCAGTTCCTTATGTTAGAATTTATGAATTGGGTCAGTTTCTGTAACTAGCATTTCTAATTGTAAAGAAACTGAGAATCATTACTAAATTTGAAGTAATGAATTAGCATGTGGAGCTTAAAATTAGTTTTTATTAATAACTCACTAATTCTTAGTAGGTTTATGTTTAAAAAAAAAAAAGCGATGTGATGAATGTCCTGAAGCGATTACCGATTTTTAAAATTGTAACTGGTGTGAATATTTTGTTATATAATGACCCTGTTTCAAATTTAAAGTGATGTCCTGCTATATAGGTGAGGTGATTCAGCTCCCATGTAGTGTCTCTAAGTTCAGAAGAGCTGGAAATGAAATACTATATGTATGTATTTAGAATAATTGGAGGAACACCCAACATGTTGGCATTTAGTTTATTTTATAATTGGAAATAGAGGAAGGGAGGTAACAGAGAGCAAGGTAGATTTTGTGGTTAGCAGTCTGTTTTCTAATCTACACAGTGGTAGTAAGACTTGATTTTAAATAACTGCTACGAAGGAACTGTGGATTTTATTAGCTGCATTTTCCAGAATTAAAGGATGAATAGGCCAACAAGCTAAGTCTGTTATCATGGTCATAATATTTGAGAATATTTTACAAAGAAATATTCATTATTACTGGAAACATTGGGGCTGTGGAATGAGTTTGGGTGGTTGGGCAGTGGGGAGAGTTTTCATAAACTGTGACTGTGTAGGAATATGAAAATAGTGGGAGACAGTCAAGTCTAGGTACACTGCATCACCAGCCTTCCTCTCATCCACTCAGTGAGTCACTTGGTCATAGAAGGGCATACAGCTTGCATGAATTCCTTCTGATTGCTGTTGGTCTGCTCGTATGATAGGTTGATAGATGATTCTGATGTGACATGAAGGAATTTCTCTTCCTGTTTGCTGTGATGTATTTTTGGATACAAACAGGCCTGTCTTGTGGACTGTTGGTTCCATGTATCATCTGCTAGAGGAAAGCTGTGAAGAGACAGATGTTTTTTTGTATTCTGCAAGACTGACCATTGAGTGTACTCAGACATATCAGAAGCAAAAGGTTTTGGATAGCTGCAGTTTGCCATGCAGAAGAAGTGTCAGTCTTTGATAGCAGAGCTGCAACACCTGAAAATGTAAATAATAGGAATGAATGGCATTATATGACAAATCATTCATTTGTCCTGTGGCTTTTCTCCCTTGTAGAACGTCACAGGGAGAAATATATTAATTTTTAAAATAACAGTTAGCATCCTTTTGAGACATGGTCCACCACTGTAACTTCACTCAAACAGAAAATGCAAGTGATTCCTCTGAACATGGCAACTGATCATCTTCTACCCTCGGATGTTAGGATCTAGCTGTCCTAATATAAGATTGGTAAATAACTTGAGTCAAAGCTGAACACCCACCTTTAAAATGCAGTATCTTTGGAGTAACAGCCCAGGATGTTACTCCTTTTACTTCTTGTTTTCAGAGAAAAAATTGTATTTTGTGACTGTTTGTTTTCTATTCTTATCCTTTTCATTAATGTTATCTTAGCTTTTTCTGAAACTTGTGTATCTGAATGAAGTACACACCTCATGGCAAATTCTTATTCCTGGATGAAGTATGGCTTACCTAATGATAACAATCTCTGTAGTAGTAGTTTTGTCAGTATATGTTCAAAATGAATGATAAACTGCAAAATACAGTACCCTCATTAATACAGGAATCAAAACACACTTATGACAGAAATGTAATGGTAACATTAAGTTATTACCATAGTATTTTTTTTTAGTTGCTTTTTTTTGACGTATGTCAAATTTCACTAAATATCTTTGTATGTCATTATGTAAACTGTTGACATAAATGCAGGTTTTCTGCACTAATGGGTATTGTAGTAGCTAAAGAAAGGTTTGTCTGCACGATGAGGAGAAAATAGTTTCATTATATTAAAGAATGATGCTGGCTGTGTATGTTTGTATTATTTCCCAGTCTACTTGGTGTGGTAATGACTGGTTAGGAACATGAGCACTGTTAGTTGCTCCTATAAATATTAAGATAAAGATAAACCTCAAGTTTAGTCTTCAGAAATAGAAATGTTGTCTATGAATTCCGTCAAATTTCCTGAGCAGTGCTTCAAATCCATTTGTTAGTAAAAGCAGTGGAGTGTTGCAGGCCATGTTTTGTTGCCTGCTGTGACATGCATGTGCTGCTTACTTAGAGGGGAATTACATGTGAAATTGTGTCATTAGTGAAGTCACTGTCAAAGTCATGTTCGCTCATTCATTGAACTGATCTTGGAAATGACATTTTGGGGATGGGGGGAAAGAACGTTTAAAACCATCTCTGTCCATGGCAAAAGCTTTGTCTTGATGAGAACTAATTTCTTCATGCTTCTTTCCAAAATTGAGATTAGTTTACTTATCTTTTTTACAACTTCGAACTATTTCATACATATTTTGATTATATAAACTGTTATTAAAGTTTAAAATTTGCGGTCTGAATTAGACTATTTATATTTTGAAGGAAATGACTCAGAAGATTAGCTGAAAGGACAGATGACGAAGTTCTACTGTAGATGGACTTTGATATTCTTGAGAATTAGAGCAACCAATGCCTCATGACATTAAGTGAGGAAAATATAAACTTTGCTTGACATGCATTTGCCTCATGCATTAGTGCAGATTGGGAAGCAACTGGCTGAGTAAGAGAAAATGAGCCAGAGATTACAGTAGACAGCAGGGTCATTGAGTCAGCAGTGTGCAGTTGTGAGGTAAGGCAAATAACAGGCTGGGCTGCGTTGGGGGCACCACATCCAGCAGATAGCAGAAGAAGAAAGTTATCTTTCACCACCTGAAATGCTGATGTGGTATTCCTGAAACTTTGTGACTAGTTCAAGGAGGGTGAGAAAGAACTGGAGAAGTCCAGGAATGAGCTACTGAGGTGATCAGGGTCCTGCAACATGCAGCCAGTGAGAAGAGAGGTTCAGGAGCTGGGATTTAGCCTTGTGAAGAGCTGGCTAAAGGATGACCTAACAGCAATCCACAGTTACTGGGATAGTTACCAAGATCATGGAGATACGTTTTCCTTAATAGCATCTTAGGAGATTCAAATTAGACATCAGAAAGGGTAAAATAGTAGCAATTTTTTTATTTTATTTTTTTTTTTTTTACTGAAAGGGTACCATAGCACTGGAATTGTTGCAGATGGTAGCTCCATCTGTGAAAGTTCCTGAGACACAGCTAGACAAAGCAATGGCTGAATTGAAGTGTTGGTGGTAGCTTAGTGTTGAGTGGTAGATTAAACAAACAGATGTATTTGTATATTTTAAATTTTCCTTGTGGCTTCACTTTTGGCTGGGAAAGTTTCAGAATTTCAGCACAGATGTCTGATTTTCCAGCTAAGTTAGTCAGATATGTTTCTGCAAACTGAGGGGTGGAGGACCATCTTCCACAACTGTGCCTATAGTGTTTCAGGCCACTTTGGAATGAAAAAAAAAAAAAAGCCTGAAGGAAAGAGAAGTAAGAACACTAGAGTTTTAGCTCCAGTATTCAAGGTTCACATTGGGTCATCTTGTTTGTTTTTGTGAATTTTAAATTCTGCTTGTTTATATGTATTTTTAAGGTAAGACAAGTGTATATGGCTAATTCAGGTGAACTGATGAGGATGCTGAAAGAGAAGTGAGAGGTAGGAACAAGTGGTTTTTCTTTGTAGACAAAGCAAGGATTGGCTGGAAATACAGGAATGCATGAATTAGACGGTGTGTAATCAATGAATATTAAGATATTATAATTATGAAATAAGCAAGATAGTTAGGCAAAGCAGATTATGATAACAAAAAGAGAATAGATAGAAAGCTTACCTGTATTCTGGGCTCGCTTACAAAACTCCAGCAGAGTGGATCTCCAGAAGAGATCCTCCCCCACTGGCAGTCAGCTCTTAAATGGGCCTTAGGAGAGGTGCAGCCAGGCTCCACCCTTCCGGCAGCACAGGAGAATTGCCTTCACCTGTGCTCCATGGCTGACTCAGCGCTCGCCTCAGGCGATCAATCAGAGGTTCAGGCCGTGATCCAGCAGGTCCCATACAGATGGAAATACAAAAACAGCAGGTATGACAAAAAGGGAAGGAAAACAAGTTTGTGGGAGTGTTGTTGGAAACAGCTCTGCCTTATCAAGCTGGAATTAGGAGGCAAAAATAGAAAATGATGGTCAAAGGCCATAGCAAGTGGTGGTTTGCACAGTTTTGTAGATTGCAGAGCAAACTTCCTGATTTCTTCCAAAAGAATAAAATTAATTAGGACTGAAGCTCAATTATGTAATGCTAATTTTTTCTTTAAAAGCATGGCTTTTTGGAGGGTTTCATTTTATGTAATAAAGGTACAGAAATGTGCTTTTTGTAAGCATGCAAAGCAGTGTCAGTTGAGATATTGAAAAATTATTATGCAAGTTGTCATTCTGTTCTATACTGTGAAAATTTGGAACTGTTATTAATGTGCCTTTTCAACAATCAAGATTGAAAACAAAATGGAGAGACATTTTTTTTATCAAGCAAGAGCAGAATGTGGACATTTGGAAAATAATATAGTTTGTCATTTAGCTTGCCAAAAAGAGGTGGCAGAAAAAGGGCTCAGATAGATAAGCTGGAAGCCTTTATTTTTAAAGAAAAAAATACACTTAAAGGACAACAGTGCCTGAATTCAGAGCTTAAGAATAGACTGTGATACCTGCTTGTTGCCAGAAGGCCCACAATAATGTCAGTCTGTGGTTATCAAATGTGTTTTAAACAGCAATCTTTCATCACTCTCCATTTATGGTTTTATTTAAAGCAAACTTGTTTGTAACCATTTTGAGACCAAAAAGAGGAAGAGAAGGTTATAATATGATTGTGTTTCGAGTTAGATCTGTCTACATAAAACTTGTATAGCTTTTTTAACCTTTTTTTTTTTGAGAGAAATTAGGAATCTTGTATGTGTCAGTACCGGAGATTTCATGTAGACTCCACATTTTGGTGAACCATTAATCAATCGTTGCTATTTCATAACCTTCAGGTTTACAGATTTAATACTTGAAAAACACAACAAGAGGTGATCAAATGATGACACTCTTCAGTCATTCAGAATCTCTCCATATGATGCAAAAGTCCCGTGTAAATGCACTCTATAGAGAGATTTGATGTTGATCCCGCTTTTGGATGAGCCTTAGTGCTGACTCCTGTCAGCAGACTTTATGCTGGGAGGTCTGTGGGGTTTGGGAGCCAGGCTTTTGATATATATTCATGTTGGAATTTACGTGTTTGCTGATTGCTCATTGTGTAAATAAAGAAGAACGTAGCATATGAGTCACTGGATTTTAAAGTGTCAGCATATTTAGAGATACCACTCTTCAGAACTTCTGTCTTGAACAGGATCTGTTGCATGAATTGATGCTGTGCACTTGGAAAGTTATTTTTAGTGTAACTTAATAATGTTTATAAATGTGTGCATAGACTCAATTGGGAAATAATACCAGCAAATCCATGTGAATTTCAGGGGGTTAATAAAATGTTGTGTAGAATGTCTCATTTGCTTAAAACAATTTATTTTTCCTATCATAAGGCATGACTGTGTCACCTCATCAGTTAAAATCCAAATGTGGTTGCACAAACTCATAGTAAGAAATTCATCCTTACTCTTCGAAGTTTGCAGGTTTGGTGCAAGCAAAGGCAGATTGTGAGGTGAGAGAGAGATTGATCCCAGTAACTGGAAGCACGCTGAATTCTTAATGAGCAGTCAGTAGTTTTATTCCAGAAACAGAATATTATCCATCCAAGATACTAATATTCTACTGAATTGTTGTATGCTGAGCTAGACTTGACGTCATGTGTTGTGTTTTTTTTTTGTGCTGTGGTGGTGGTTTTGTTTTTGTTTTTATAAGATGGGAAAAAAAACTAAAAAATGTGAAGACTGATTTTTACATCATGGTGGAACTTCCAATGAACTGCTGAGTATTCAGCTCCCATAGGAATTCAAGGTGCACGGCAGGTGTCCGTGTTGGGAAGTTCTCATTGGGATTTTATCAGTTTACTTATCGGTAAACTTTCTGTTGAAATCACAGATAAAGTTGATATTTTCACATATCACTAGAAAAACTAAGATGAGACAGTAATATTCAAACTGTGCTTTACATATTGTAGCAAAATACATTAAGTAACTAAGCAGTGTATGACTACAAACATGTATATTGGTGTGCTTCTCATTTTTACTGACTTAAAAAGTAAAAATTTAACTATCGCCTTTCAATTGAAGCAGTTAATATATTTTGTAATCAAAAAGTTGATAATGCATCATTCAGTGTGGCATTATTTGAACAGAGATCAGTTCTGATGCGTGCATTTCTTTGGAAGTTGCTTAATCTTTGCAGGACTGTAATCAGGATTATGAAACAGAGCTTAAGTATTCCTTTTACAGAAATATCACAGCTCTTAATGTAATTTGTCTTTCTTGGAAGAAGGGTTATGTTTGTTTTAATGATTTCTTGGGAAATGAGTGGAGTGAAATTAAAAGAAGTATATTTCTCCTTTCATCAGAATATCTTGTTCATAATAATAGAGTCTTTCAAATATATCTGCAGTCATGAAAACCTGCTCTTTTTAGGGAGGGGGCAGGGCAGTGAAAATCTAGCCAGCCTTGTTTTGGTCCCTGTAGGAATGTTTGTTTCTGAAGAAGTTTTAATATCTGTGGTTGATTTTTGTCAGGACCTAGGCGTTGATTTTGATACTCATTTGTAGTATGCAGTTACAATCAGATCACAGCAGCTTTGGAATTCAGCCTTTCTGCTGTCAAAGTCAATGAAGCATTGTCTGTCGTGGGCGTGTTTTACAGAAGCATAAAGTCAGTGTATTTTATCTTGACATAATATGCCCATCCCACGTTTTAAACTTTTACCAGCTCTGTAACGTGGTAATCCTTTTCTGATTTGGGTGGGGGGTTGTTTTTGCTTATCTTGCATGCCAGTGACCTCCTTACCATCTGTTTTCTTTTTCTTTGGCATCGTTTCCATTTCTTTTCTTACTGCCTATCACAATCTTAAATAACCATTTTATTGAAAGACTTAGAAATATTTATCTTTGTATGTTCCTTCCCTTCATTAGATGTGTCACGTGCAGAAGTAATCTGGCTTGATTTAGTTGTTTTTTTTGTTGGTTTTTTTTTTTTTTTTTTTTTTTTTTACTACGAATGGAGGAAAAATAAATCACATGAGCGGAGTGTTTCTGCAGCATCATTCCTCCAATTTCAGATGTATGGCATGAAAGCAGCTGCAGTCAGCTGACAGCTTGTGGTCGTGTTGAGATGTATGTGAGGAAGGGGCGTGCTGTTTTAAATGCATAATAAAGCTGTTGTTTCGTCACCAGGAAGCAGGGATGGGAGAAACCCAGGGGAAATGAGAGACAGTAATGTTGCTGTAGTGGAAGGGAAGTCTGGATTATTAGAACCAGAGCTCTGTACAGGCAGCCGTACGGAAGCACCAAGGCAAAATGGCACAAATGTATTTTGTTTTCTGTAAGGGCAGGAGATAAATGCAAGCAGCAGATAAAATCCTGAGATGGACACGCTCAGAAGGAGGGTGAAGTTGTTTTTTATGCTCTACTGCCCTTTACCTCTATTGGTACCTTCCAGTGAAATCGGTGTAGTTGTATTTTTAGCTTGCTGTATCCAACATCAATATGAAAACATAATTCTGTCTTTACATCTGTAAGCAGCTTTTACTATGTTTTCCTGTTTTCTGCCAGCTGCAGTTTACAAAGGATGTCACAGCACTGGTAAGAAGCATACAGTAGCCATTTCTGATTTTCTGTAAGGCATGTTTTTCTGAAGTGATTTGTGAGAAGCAAGAATAGGAAATGACAAGTTTGTTGGAAATGACATAGGTAGAGCTGAATTCTCTTGATAATGCTAGTATCTTAATTTGTGGTTTGTGCCTGTTAACTTGGTTGGTTTTCTTTCATTGTGCCTTAATATTTCACTAATGCTTAGCGTAACATTTATTGCACCAATGTTTTAAATGCCTCACCCACCTCTGTACTTTGCTCTGTATTAATTTTATGGCTGCCCTTAGACTTCTGTAATCTGTGGTACTGAAACAGGACATTGTGTTGATATTCTGGATTTGAGCATGTTATGGTTTGAGAGCAAATGCTGTGATATGATACCACACCTAAATGTGTGAAAGCTTTGAGAAATCATATTAATCTTCAATTGCATTGGCAGGCTCTGCTGCTGGCTCTTTATTTCACTATGTTTAAACTGAATGGAGTCATGCTGAAGTTTTTAAGTAATGGACTGTCATTTAGAAATGCTGTATGCTTCTCATTAACTTTTTTTTTTTGTATGTGCTGTTAATTTCAAAATGGTAAATGTTGCTTTTCAAAAATGAGGCTATTGAAACATGTTACATTCAGTATAACCATTTTTTTCTCAGGAGTCAGGCTCTAAAGCATAAAGATGAAAATAAAAGCACTAAGGAAATAAATTTGAAATTTAGTTTGTTCTAGTATTTTGTAGCAGTAGTGAATATGTGTGGATTTTCATAGTGTTTGTATCTCAAAGTTTAAAATGATGCATATTATTCATATTTTTGCAGTAAAATTTGTGTACCATGTACTGGCTGTCTTCCACAAAATGTAAGATTACTTGTAGGGTATTGGCTCACAACAGAGATTGTTACTGCTTCAATTTATTCATTTTATGTTTAGGCACAGTAGCTTTTATGTAGAGGACATCTTAGATGAGTGTGTGTGTATATGTGTGTGTGTACTTTCACATGTACTAAGTGAATTGAGCTCTTCTATACATGATATGACTAGAGAATTTTCTAGTGCTAGCTGAATTTATTGTGCAGCATTTTAACCTGTCAACTGCTGTAAAATTCTGGTCCCCAGCAATACAAAGCTTAAATGGGAAGG